ATATATAGTTTTGTTGCAATGTGGTAACGAATTTCTTGACAAGAGTAGTTATAGTTCGACTAAAATAGATCAAGAGGGCGATGTTTTAGACAAAAACCATGGACGAAGATGATAGAAATTTTGGGAATTGCTTATTAGGCTTAGAAGGCCTCTGGATCGAATGAGTGGGTGAATATATGTTAAGGTCTTGATGAATAGACTATGAGTTAAGGTCTTGATGAATGATTTTCTTGTTTAAGGCTGATTTTTTGTTTTTGGGGACAAGACTAGCGCTGAAAAGTATTATTTAAGGATCATATCTTTTTGTAATTTATCAACATATGATTTTAGTATAAAGTCTCTATCAAAGCTCTTAAAAATCTTATCTTACTCGTATTTTAATTTATGAATTATTTACAACTTTGTATTTTATCTTTTATGCAACTTATTTTATTATATTTATTTTGTTCTTTACAATTCCTATGCTTATTTATCTTTACTATTTTATTTACATGTTTATCCTTTACTATTTCATTTACATGTTTATCTTACTTTTAATTTATTTATTACTCTTACTTCTAAAGCAATCTAATGTTTTTAAATCTATAAACTCAAGACAAATATGTTTAAATCAACTATATTTAAATTAAAATAAAAAGACTACTTATTTATTAAAACATTTTAAAATAATAAATATTAATTTTGTTGTTGTCAAACATGAATAATTTATTATTAAAGCTTTAATGCTCTTTATTTATGCAACTAGAATATATGTAATATGTTAATATGTCTTTCAAAGTAATAAATCTTAATATAAAATTAAAATAATAAATCTTAATATGTCTTTCAAAGTTCCAACACTATCACTCTGGTTTAAATACACTTATAAGCTAAGGTACTTGAATAAAAAAATATGATATGTCTCAACAATATAAATCTAAATTCTAGATTTAAAAGAAAAATTAAAGTATAAAATAAGAAGAAAAAACTAAAAATATGAGGTGAGGAAGAGTGTATAAAAATCTAAAAAATATATATAGTTTTAAAATTTTTCATTCATCCTTTTTTTTAAGGAATTTTAAAAGTTAAAAGGTTGAAAAATTAATAAGAATTAATTTACATCATTATCATCATTTAATTAACCATCATAAATTAAGAATTAAATATAAAAAATAAAGTATTCTTTAAGTAGAAAAAATAAGTGTTTTTTAAAATTAAATTTTCAAATAAATTTTCGAAAGGCAATTATTCAAGTGAATACATGTTGCTGTTGATGATGCTGGGCCAGTGACTGCTCGTGCAACTAGTGTGAAGTGTACATGGTCAGGAACATGCCAGAGTTTTGGACTGGTTAGTGCTAGATAGTTGAAAATTTTCACAGCTTGGATTTCTTCAATTACCAATAATTATGGGTGTTCCTGATTTATCACAGATTTAATGTTGTAATTATTTTTCCCTAGTGCCATTAATTGGGATTTTGACCATTTTAATAGCTCATTGAGTAGTAGTAGTTAGTGGTCTCAGGCTGATTCCTGGAGCCATCTCTCAAAGTCCTTCAATCATAGCTGTATAAAGAATAAAACCAACATCTTGATTTTGAAGATCTCTTCTCATTCTTGGCTTCTTCCCAAATTCCAGATCACTCTCCGTTACCAATTGCCAACCAAACTGCCCTGTATTTCGTACCTTCACCGTATCATCATGAAATGAAATCAA